GATATAGGAAGAATTTGAAATTACAAAAAAAATGCAATAAAAAATAAATTTGGATTTGAATCCATAAAATTTTGTTTATCCAAATGAGAAAATTTGATCTAAATCCAAATTCTCATTAATTTTTTATGAGAATAAAGATTTAATTGACATGTGAATTTATTATTAAAAAAACACTCAATTATATTTTGGACAAGAGGAATTATATTTTTACTTTATATATATATATATATATATATGCGCGTATGTATATTTGTTAATTGCACGCGGGCGTGTAGCGTACTCTTGTTGGAGACAATTATAGTTTTATTTGAGGTTACCCATCAGTAGGCACTGGCCAAAAACGTTTTTTTCTTTCCCAATATTTCATAACTAATATTTCTATTCCAAAGGTTATAGTATATAGTCACACACATAAAATATATATTAGAAACATTTTTTTAAACTTTGTCCAAGACAAAAACTTCATAATAAACATGTGAATTATTAAATATGAATTAATCACCAGCAATCATAGTCACATAAGCAGCTATTATCAGCAGGAGCGCCAACGGAGAAGCAATATCCAACGGCTTTGCGGTTAGGGTGTTTGGAAGCGCAATCAGATTTACACTGATTGGGGTCGCAAGAACCGAGTCCCAAGCTCTCATGGCAAGTCTTGCAACCATCAAACAAACACCTGAGATTAGGGGACCCACGCATGAGCCGAGTCCATTTGGATGAGCCGCTTTGCACCTCGCTGTACAATCCGCGTCGCACACTCCCAAATCCTCGTGGCAATCTTCCCCCCTCACTATAACCAACACGTTTCCTGCGAATTTATATGACAAAATTAACTGTTAATAATGGGTGAGAAAAAAATAAGTTTTTTCTCTATCCAAATCAAGAGTAAGACTCAAGTTCATGATGAATTTTTTCACCCACTTTATTATATATCTATCAATAACTCCAATTTTACTTGATATAAGTTTTTCATATAGTTGAAAAAATAAGCCAACTTGTGACGTGATGTTTCTATGTTAGTGATTATAGTTGAAAAGAGACCCACTTCCTAACAAGCTAGAATTTTCCCAACCTTACCAGAGTTGGGTTAACACACTTATAACTCACTAACCTGTTTAATATTCTATTTTTTTTAACACTTGTTTTTTTTATTGAAAATTAAATTACAACTTTTCTTGCAAATTAATTATCTAAACATATCATAAAGTTAGAAATACAATTAAATCTCCACCACAATTCATAAAAAAAAGGGAAATAAGGAAGAGAATGAATAAAAATAATTAAATATTAATTTTTTTAAAAAAATAACAAAAGAAACTAACTCATAAATTGATGGGCTAGCGAGCTCACACAGTATTGTGTATGGGCCAAAAAAAAGATCTGCATTTAAATACGTCTTAGGACAATCAATCCAACTTGCTGCCATTTGGTGGGCTGGAATTGTGAGAGCCCGGCTCATATTACCCACTTTATATTTTCTCAAACCAACAACTTAAGCAAATCCAGACCAACTCAAGTCTATGCATAATCAAAAATCTTAATACAGACTTTTAGAGATGGAGAGAAGCCGGCATGGAGTTATGATAAATGAGTTGGTTTTGTTGTTCCTATATCCTTTACATATGAATATCGGAATTGAATAGGAGTGTGCATCTATGCCATATGGTCCAGTTTTCTTGGTATATGAAATTTGAATGATTAATTCAGTTTTCTTTAGTATCATTTCAAAGTATATTTTGATAATTATTCCTCATTAATTATGTCAAACTTACAGTCGTCAACATATGAAAGATGTTAGTTTATATTAAACATATAGTATATAAAAGTAGGAGTGGAGCCAAGATTGAAAAGTAAAATAATTATATAAATTAAAGTTGGTTTAAATGTTCGGAGCTGGAAATAAACCTATGTAACACAGAAAAAAATTAAAAAAAATATAAAATTTGCTTAAAATCATTGACTAGCAGATTATAAGAGAAACAGAAAGTAAAAATATGTCAAATCAAAAAAAAATTTAATTACCTGTTAACGCAATGAATAAGAGAAAGAGAATGAAGGATACAAAAAAGTCCTTCGTCATGTTTTACCAACAATCCGACACTATTTAGCAAGGTGGCTTCTGATACATTTGAATGTGACAAGCCTTAATTTATACTACCAGATCTTGATTTGATTTCGCTATAGATAATATAGTTTTAACGACTTTTGATTTGATTTAAATGCACTTAAATGAATGAGATTTTACAACCTTTTATAGTAATTAGAAAGATTAGATATAAGGAAAATTATCGTTGTCATCATTCAATATAAAACAAAATAAAATCCCTAGTACAGGTTACTTAATTTATTTTGCATAGAGTAATAAATTATACTCACTCCATTAAAAAATATCTTATATTTTTTAAGGGATTGAATGTTAAAAAATGTAAGTTATTTTAAAATTTTAAAATGTAATTAATTTTTTTAAAAATGCTCATAATAAATAAATTACTTTATATTTATTTTAAAGTGAAATAATATATTAAATAAGGGTGAACAATATAGAAAGATGATGTTTTTTTTTTGGCCTAAATGGAAAGATGATGTTAGTTTAAAAATAATTAACTACTTTATTGAAAATGAGATTTAATTAAAAATATTTTATATTTTTTAAAGAAGGTAGTATTGTTTACAAATTTCAAATAGAATGATTCATTTTTTAAATTTGACATGCTTCATGGGAACTACTCTGTGCTTCTTTAATATAAGGAAAATTTAACTAATCTTTTGCTTATTGAGAAATGATAATTATATTTTTTAAAATTTTTAAAAAATATGTAACCTTCTAATTTTTTTCTTTCTTTACAGTTAATAACTCTAACAAATTATTGCCTATGAATTCAAACTGTATATAACAAATAAATAAGAAGTAAAATTGAAAAAATTAATTATTTAAATTTTATTAAAAAAATTCGAAGTGACTTCACCATCTAGTTTTATACTAATACTATATGGAATTTATTGTGAAACAAAGCAAGCTTTTGTGAATTGATGGAACGGAAAAATAAACTGTACTAATTATGACTTGCAAGTAATTTAATCCCATGTAACTTTTAGTTTTACTAAACATAAGGTAGATCATACATACTAGACTATACCAAATCAAATTTGAGTGTCATGGATTTGGAGGAATTAGAGAAAATTGACGTGGATATTAGTTGAAATGAAGAGTTGAGATTTTAAAAAACAGTTATAATTACTCCCTCTGTTAAAAAATATAAATTATTTTTAACCGAATCTCATCCCTCAATAAAGTAGTTATCTATTTTTAAACTAACTCTATATTTTTATATTTACTCTTATTAAATACCTTATAATAAATATAAAGTTATTCATTAATAGGGATACTTTAAAAAAAATAATGTTTATACTTCGAAAGATTAAAAATGCCTTATATTTTTAACATCCAACTCCTTTAACAAAAGAAGTATAATTTTGAAATATTAATTGAAAGACAATATTGAAAGGTACCTTTCTCAATCTATATAAAGTTAATTATATACATTTTAAACGCGACTGTGTTATATCAAAAAACAGATTTTTTTTCTTTTTGGCTATAACAAGCAAATGAGTTTGTCAACGCCTTCGGAAGATAGCTGGGCTTTACATGTGGCGTACTATTGATTATTATTTTTTTAATTAACGTTCTAGTCTTTATTATAGGCTGTTAGCAAATGTTTTTGGCCTTTATTAACTTCAAGCATTTGATGCTTATTAATTACATTTTTTAAATAATAATTTTATTTAAATTTATTGACTATATAAGAGATAATGTAATGCGTTTAAAAAAATCATTTAAGTAAGGTTAAAATTAAATTTGTATTACATTTTTAAATAAAATTAATGATTTAATCACCCCCTCATTGATTTTGATAAGATAGTTAAAGACATGAGAGAGTATTAGATCTGGTTTGATTACTGGAAAAGATGAGAATGGAATGAGTTGACAAAATAAAAATAAAAATGAATTGAATCATCTATTCTTTTTATAATAAATATGATAAAATTTAATATTACATACCATAAATGTGAAATTATCATATTTTTTAAAAATCTTATGAATCATCACTTTTAACTCACAAATTAAATTACCCTTATTTTTTTGAACATGATTCACATATTTCCTTCACATTTTTATTTTTTTATTTTTTTTTCCATCTATTTCATATTTTTTTTCCTTAGCAACCAAGCCGATTATAGTACGAATATGAATAACGTGCATGGAAAATAATAGGAATTGACTTGCAAGTTTTTAAACTTGGGACGGGCCAAATTTAATAAGATTGGCATCATCATAAAATTCATAAAATCTTGCGCGCGCGCTCTCAGCAGACACTCTTTCCCTCCCCTCTTTGAAATGCCTAGCAAGTAGGTCCACCTTAAGCTTTTATGGCGATTCTAACTGAATAATAGCATCAGCCTCACCGTTTTTTCTCTTTTATCGCATCCTCTCCTCACAATGCGGAAGTCAGCTCCCTCCATTACCATCCATCAAGCTTTTCTTCCTCCGTTCCTCTACAATAGCAAGATTAAACAAATTATTACTGTCAAATTTTTTTTTAAAAAAATAATCACATGGTTATTCAGATCAAACAAGAACAGTAAATTTTCTCCTGTAGTTGATTGGTGAAAAATAAAGGTACTTGCTTGCTTGTCTTCATTGTTTTTCACCTCTCACCTTTTTGACAATGCTTTATTCTTGTTGTTTTTGTTCTTGGATTTACCTTTAATTTAATTAACTAACTGAAAAGACTTGATGAGATCTTGTTGAAATCCCCTTTTTTCTCAGGCAGTACTTTTCTCAAGCGTCATGATTCTTCAATATTTGTTGCTTTGTCCATGAACGGACAAAAACTTGTTTGTTTCTTTGAATTTTTAATCGTTTTTTTATTTTTTTACGGTTCTTGTAGCTTCTTCTGTAGGGTGGTGTGGCTCTTTATGGCCGTTAGAGATAAGCACGCTTGGCATTATTCGTCATCGTTCCCTCCAAAATCCCTTTCGTCTTTCTACCATCTTCCACAAGCCGCGCTTTAATTTCTTTCTTCATTTTTGCACACTCAAGCTTTTTCCATCTTCTTCTTCCCCGAATTTCTTATGATTTTCATCAATTTTGTTCCTTAGATTGCATCTGCTGCATGCTACACATTTGGATTCCGCGACGTTGAGTTTGCTCCTCCGATTTCGCTTTTATAACTGCAGTGTCAGAGATTTTTATTCTTTGTAGAATTCCTCTGAATTTTTGTTGATTTCAATAAGACACATCCATTAGCTGCTCTTCTTCTATCTTCAGGTATGCTTGAAACATTAAACGCGCTTCCTTTTATGTTTCAGTAATAAAAAAAATTAAAAATAACAAACTACGAATCTTCTTCGTTTAGCTTCAATTTGAAACAATCCCGCAGTTCATTTTACCGCACAGCCTGTGCAAGGCCGGTCATTGTTGACGAATCAGTCTAGCAACGATTCTTAAGTTTGATGTGAAATTCTGTAAAATTTGACGCAATTGAAACCTGAGGATATTGGAATGATCGGAAAGTTCGAAAATGCAACGACTAAGAGCATTATAGCTTGTTCGTTTTCGAGATCAGTTGCACTGTTGCATGTATATGTGCATGCATGTCACCCAAGTGCGCGCGCGCGCGCACGAATATTTTCTCGCCGATGTAAAATTTGGGCATTTTGAATGTCATCTCTGCAAAATTCTGGCACTTTTGGTAATTTCTGCATGTCTACGCTATATGTACTTCGCGTGCATCGGTGCAACGGAGGCAGTTTGTTGCACAGAAGCAGCTTAGCTGTTGATCAATGAGTGAAGTAGTGAGTCACCTTATATGAGTATACCATTTCAAGCGCATTTAATAATCTAATTCAATGATAAAGGACGCTACCTAAAATTATACTTCCCTCTGGGCATATTCACAAGAAATAAATGATAGTTAAAATTTAGCTATAATTTGTTTCTTATAAATAAGTCTGGAGGTAGTATTTCTTGGTGGGTCTCCTTTATTGTACCTTTCCTCGCACGAGAGAAACCATTCGCAGTTGTCCCTTTTCTGCATGAACCTGTGCGGACTTGCGTTTCTGCTTTTCGCAGCGAATTCTTGTATTGTATATAGCCACCACCTTTTCAAAGATACAGTACTGGAGGAGAGTAGATATCTCTGAAAGTGAAGAGATTATGACAGAGAGTGAACGCTGTTGCGCTTAGCATATTCATCCCCTACGCGAGTCCTGAAGATTCTTACTGTAGTGAAAAACTAAACGTGAGAAAATGTGGGAGAATTTAGTTAGCTTGGGTTGCATAAAAAAATCATAATACAGCTAAGCTTTCTGTTTGCATTTTTAACCATCCCAAGGACCATTTAATGATGTTAACCTCCTAATTTTGTATTACCCAGCTAAAACTTTGATTGATTCTCTAATTCCTGACTAATGTCACTGGCAAGAAATTTCAGAAACAGAATTTTCTTTCCACAACAATTAATAGAAATATTTATGTTTCTTTTTCCACAGTAAATCTGCTCTAGCAGTTTAACCCATTCAACTAACCTTTCTGCACTTGACCTTTGTTTCATGATTGCCTTTCAGGGTATTCTTTGCTATATTCCAGCTTGGTTATACAAGACCAAAAAGTATAATATTATGTCTGTTTCCATGAGAGATTTGGATCCAGCTTTCCAGGGAGCTGGACAAAAGGCGTATCCTAAATCTAATTAACATATTGTGTTGTTTGTAACTAATCAGATTCTCATCTGGAAACTCTATTTTCTGTCAACTTAAGTTGATTCATACTACAAAACTGTGTCCTGACAAGATTTCTTTGAGATAGCTACTTCTTTTTTTTTGCTTGTGTTCTTTGTTAATTTGAGTTCATGCATCGATCTCTTCCTAGTTCTTCTTAACTGTATATAGTGGACTTGAGATATGGCGCATTGAGAATTTAAAACCAGTTGCTGTTCCTGCCTCCTCCTTTGGGAAGTTTTTCACTGGGGATTCCTATGTGATATTGAAGGTCAGACATTAGATTTACGAATGTCGTTTTCTCTCTCCATGTTGAGTGATGACACTATGTTCATGTTGGCTTGTGCAGCCGCTAGAAGCTTTCCTTTCTTTGTTACTGACACTGACACTGTGATATTTTTTCTCTCTCCGTGATGACACTATTTTCAATTGTCATCTTTGTCTTTATCTTAAGATTACTTGCATTGTTTGCATAGTGATTCCTGGCGGATCTTTAAGCTTAGAGACTTAGCCAATCAAACCTTATCATTGATCTTGTGTACGAGAAAAGGATAACTAGATCCAATTTGTAATTCATGTAAAGAATAACTGCCAACTCTGCCATTAATGGAAACTCTTAATCCCTGAGGCTTTTGGTGCAGAGTTTGTCCACAGCTTGAAGAATAATATCTGTACATGTGGCCATGTCGGAAATATTGTTTTCTCTTTATACATAAATATCAGTTCTGTTAGTTATATACTTTTGGCTTCTTTCCTGAAAGTTTTGTTTCCCACTTGCTTAGAATATAGAATTGTTTCTAAGGGGTCTAATTCAAATCTCAGTATTTTCCTCTCTAGCATTTCTGGACTTGTATTGTTTTGCTTTCTAATGATATTCTCAGGTGTCGGGAACAATCGCTAATCTATTAGTTTACTATTCATTGCGTGGCTAATTCTTGTTGCATTTAACATGAAGCAATTTTTTTTCATTATTATAAATCATCATCTTGTTTTTAAATTTCTTGTCGTCTCTTTTTAGACAACTGCTTCAAAAAGTGGTGCACTGCGTCATGATATCCACTACTGGCTTGGTAAAGACACCAGTCAGGTAGGTTGTAGGTTTAGCTGCTAAGAAATTGCTGGTTTTTTCCAATAAAAGATGTATAATTTCTTGCCACATACTTCCTACATATGGGAAATTAAACCAGGATGAAGCTGGTGTTGCAGCCATCAAAACGATTGAGCTAGATGCAGCTCTTGGAGGACGTGCTGTTCAGTATCGTGAATTACAGGGTCGTGAAACTGAAAAGTTCTTGTCTTATTTCAAACCATGTATAATTCCTCAAGAAGGTGGAGTTGCCTCTGGTTTTAAACACGTTGAGGCTGAAGAACATACAACACGCTTGTATGCATGCCAAGGGAAACATGTTGTGCGGGTGAAAGAGGCGAGTCTGACAATTTTTTCTTGGAAATTGACGTTGTAGTCTAGTATATCATTAGTTTGCACACTTGATAAAGACTACACAAATGAATCGACATATCATTTTCAACTTTCTGAATAGTAATTTGTCTTGGTTTCAGGTTCCTTTTGGTCGATCGACACTCACCCATGATGATGTTTTTATTCTGGATACCCAGTCTAAAATCTTTCAATTTAATGGTTCTAATTCATCTATTCAAGAAAGGGCTAAAGCATTGGAAGTTCTACAGTATATAAAGGATAACTACCATGATGGGAAATGTGAGGTTGCCACTGTTGGTAAGTGGACAGCTATTTTTTTAAAGCTCAAAGATTATTGCTAAATATCACTTATGGGATGCATACACTTATACAACTATATAGAGGATGGAAAGTTGATGGCTGATGCTGATGCTGGAGAATTCTGGGGCTTCTTTGGGGGCTTTGCTCCTCTTCCACGGAAAACAGCCAGTGACGATGATAGTATTGTTGATTCTCAGTCTCCAAAGCTGCTCTGGTAATATGTTTTCTGTTTTCTCCATGGTATTTTTATTCGTATTTGCTCTGCCAATGTTAGTTCATTGATCATTAAAACTTACTTGATGGAATAGCGTTTTCGTTTGCACGCGTTTGGATTATTCTTCTTTCAAAGAATTCTTTTTTCCCTTTTAATTTGACAAATATGATGTGTATCAATGTAGGACATTTTACAAATTTGTCGTTCTTTTGGATTTGGCCTAAAGATATGTAGCATTTGATTAGTTTTGATTGTGGTGGATCACATTCTAACATTGGAATCCATGATGATATAGTTCTAATGGAATTGCTATATTTTTCCAGTGTTGTGAAGGGGCAGGCAGAACCTATTGAGAGTGATTCTTTAATAAGAGAACTACTAGACACAAATAAATGTTATATTCTTGATTGCGGTTTGGAAGTTTTTGTTTGGATGGGAAGAAACACCTCTCTTGATGAAAGAAAAAGTGCAAGTGCAGCTGCAGAAGTAACGCCTCTGATTTATAACTTTGAATATTTAATATCTTATTCTTAACTTTAATAACTTATGAATATCCGTTGATCAACTAACAGGCATTAATCAGTGGTCCTGATCGACTAAAATCCCACATAATTCGTGTTATTGAAGGATTTGAAACTGTTATGTTCAGATCCAAATTTGACACTTGGCCTCAAACACCTAACGTAACTGTGTCAGAAGATGGTCGTGGCAGGGTGGCAGGTAAGTGCAATTGAACTTATATTTCTCTTGGGCCTGAATGGATTACTCTTCGCTTAAATCTATATTTTAATACTTATTATCAACTATTAATGATATTGCAGCACTTCTAAAGCGTCAAGGAGTGGATGTCAAGGGTCTGTTGAAAGTTGATCCAGTAAAAGAAGAACCTCAACCTCACATTGATTGCACAGGACGTTTGCAGGTAATACATAATGTTTCCTCTCTCTTTTCTTTTCTTCTTCTTCTTCTTCTTTTTTTTTTTACTTTTTAACTTCTCTATTTATATTTTCTTTTCAAGTGTTATATTGAAATGAGAGAATTCTTTAGAATCACAATCACCATATTATTAAAATCCTAGCTGCTTATCATTTTCAAGATATGGCAATTGAAATGAGAAGCAGAATGCTTAAGCTACTGGTGCAAAGAGATGTACTGTATCAAATACATAAGATATGTGAAATTTAGGCTACTTTCGACTCATTCAGAGAAAATGGAGCAGTTGCTTATTATGTTCTTTAAAAAAAGGAGTCAATAATTCATGAAGCGAGTTGATTAGTATGGGTGACCTACCATTTGCTGAATCTGAAAATCTTTATCTACTTTTTTCTTTGATTACATCAGGAGGGTTTTATTGTAAACAGATAATTGATAAGCCTTAACCAATTTTTATTTATTTTTTAATGAGTCAATTAAGAGTTGGCCATTTTCAACAATAGTCCAGTAGGAGAAGGATTTCATCTCAGTTTTCAGTTTTTCGCCTTCTTGCAGTTTTAGGGCTTGATTGTAGTGTGATAAGGATTAGATAGTATTAAATGCCTGGGTCTCATAGTGTAGCATGGGATGTCTGCTGTGGTTCTTAAGGAGAGTAGTCAATCCCTCTTGACCGTGTGCATTGCCTACTCCTCCGAGGGTCCTATCATTTCGATGGAGGGTTTTGACTGGCCAAAAGTTCAGAAGCCTGAGGGAAGTGCAGTAGAAGGTAACCATCAAGGTGTTGATTCTTAGAGCTGATGCTATGACTCTTTCCCTTGATAGTCCACTTTTAATGGTGGATTCCCCATGCCTCTCAGGTCTTATCAGAGTTACTGCCCCAAAATAAATGATGAGTCTTTGCAAAAACTTGTGAATATTCAATTCTCCTTTGTTCAATCCATTATGTCAGGATTTGAAGGATTTAATGAAGACAGCATCTCAATTACATCAAAGTTCTGGTTGAGACTTGCAAGAGGCATGGAAGTGAAAAGGGTTTCCAATTGTTGAGTTTCACGAATGGTTAAATTGATATGTGGCCACAAATTTGCGTTACGTCTTCAGTATTTGTATTTTCATTTTGAAAACTGGTTTCTCTTAAAAATTTCAGAAAGAGAAAGAGCTTTATGTGGAGTGGCTCTGTCCGAATTATGTTCATTTTCACACTGCTTTTTTGCTTCTGTTGTTAACAACTTTACCCTGATTATCACGCAGGTTTGGCGGGTAAATGGCCAAGAAAAGATTCTCCTTCAAGATTCTGATCAATCAAAACTTTTTAGTGGTGATTGCTATGTCTTTCTCTATTCATATCCTGGAGAAGATAGAGAAGAGCATCTTGTAATAACATGGATTGGAAAGAACAGTGTTGAGGTGAAAATCAAAGGCATTTTGTTCTACTTCTACATGTGTCGATGCATGTATTGTGAATTTCTCCTTTATAACTAAATGATTAAATAGTCTGGCAGCATCATGTTTTAATGGGGCTGTTCACTCTTTTGGGACCAGAAAGTGATTTCTAAGTTTTAAAGTGCATGATAAAGAATTTATTTTGGTCTTGCTATATATTTTGGTCTTGCTATATATCTACCTTGCAGTACTGTGAATCTATTTCCTGCGTTGCTTATGATATTGTTTTTCTTGAAAATAGGAAGAAAGAGCTTCAGCTATTTTATTGGCAAGCAAGATTTTTGAGTCAATGAAGTTTATTCCTGCCCAGGTGTTTTTTGTTTAAATGTATTATTTTTTCACTTCGTTGGTATATCAATTGTGCTTCTTTTTTTGTCCTTGCTGATGTTATCCATGTTTTATTGATTCCTAGGCTCGTATTTATGAAGGGAATGAACCAATTCAGTTTTATTCTATCCTCCAAAGCTTGATTGTTTTTAAGGTTTGTTGAGTTCTGATTTTGGAGGAGCCGGGATAAATCACTCTTCACATACATATTCTTAATTTCATTCACTTAATTTTTTGCTAGGGTGGTCTTAGTGATGGATATAAGAATTACATTGCGGAGAAGGAAATTCCAGATGACACGTATAAGGAAGACGGTGTCGCACTATTCCGCATCCAGGGCTCTGGACCTGACAGTATGCAAGCTATACAAGTCGATACGGTATGTTGTCCTTTCTCTTTATGCTGCCTCCTTTCTATCCACTTAAATGAGCAGATTTATTTATGTATTCTCAAATTTTCCCCCCTTATTTTTTCCACTACTAGGTTGCTTCTTCCTTGAATTCCTCATATTGCTACATACTTCATGATGGGCTCACAGTCTTCACATGGATTGGAAGCCTTACAAGTACAGATGATCATGAACTAGTTGAGAGGATGCTGGATTTGATAAAGGTATGGTTTGTTCAATGACAAGCTTAGAGAGAAAATCTTGAGGAATCCAAACACAATTTTTTTTTTGGTTGAAACATTGGCAGCTTATATTGGTTGATTTCTTATATGCTTATGTACTAAAAATAATTAAATCTATCCATGGTTTTTGATCATACATCATTGCACAAGTCATACTATTAACGTGTCAGATCTCAAATTGGAGTTTCTGAACGTTTGAATGCTTCAGGAGGTTGTCATTAAAGTGTTTTTTTTTTTTTTTTTGGGTATGGTCAGGTTTGCCTGTTTATCTGGTTCTTATATGCTTGGCAATTGTTTGCAGCCAGAATTACAAACGAAACCACAGAAGGAAGGTTCAGAATCTGAACAGTTTTGGGACTTGTTAGGAGGGAAATCAGAGTATCCCAGTCAAAAGATTGCAAGGGCTGCTGAAAGTGATCCTCGCCTATTTTCTTGCAACTTCTCGAAGGGTGAGGATTGTTTTTTTAGGAAAGATTTATTTTATCTCTGTCAGGAAAACAGCTGACTTTTACAATGGTGTTTGTTGGCTACCTGACTAAACAAATATGCAGAAAATTTGAAGGTGAGTTTACTTTATGATTGATTATTCCCTTATTTCCCTCATGTAGCTGTTAATTTGGAATAGTTCCGAGTTTTGGAGATCCTGCGGTGTGAAGGAATGTTAACAAAGTCCTTGCCATCATTAGTATTTTCTTCATTATTAGCCTGTTAGGTTTCTTCTCTTCTGAGAAAATAAATATCTAGCAATTGATGATAAGAACAAGTTATGATTGATTCAATAGCAATAGAAGTATGAGCTAGTTTGATCAAGCTGAAAATTTACAAGATACATAGTTCCATTCCTTAGGATAGACAGGAGAGGGGAAACTAAAAACAGGGATGAAAATAAAGCTCTACTGAGCATGCTTTATCCCATATTAGTCATGCTGTAAATCAAATCTGAATGAAATGGTCTTGTTACTCAATCAGATGTTCTGCCATAGTTCTCCAAAAAGCTTGAGGACATGATGGCAAATGTGTGACTCAAGCTTAAATAACTAGTCAGTGTCATAAACAGGAAAATTGTAAAGTGAGCGCACAGCTAACCTGTGCATTGAAGAGCCAAATAAAGAAAATAATATGTTAGGGCAGCATGATCTCTGCGGGTTGAGTTGATTATAGCCATTCAGCTTCCTTCAAATGACTCTGGATCTGATAGGAGGTCCTGGTCTATACGCTATGCATCGTGTTGTTCGAGACTATAATTTATTAAGCATGTTTGTGTAGTACAAAATACTAAGGGTCAATTTACTGCTCCATGCGAAGGTATGGTTGCAAAGGCGCATTTATACTGATTTATTTGATGAGGAGCTGTATTTGCAGGTAACTGAAATATACAACTTCTCCCAGGATGATTTAACGACTGAAGATATTATGATCTTGTATTGTCACTCAGAAATCTTTGTCTGGGTTGGCCAGCTTGACCCTAAGAGTAGATTGAAAGCTCTAACAATTGGTGAGGTATGACTGGCTTTATTTGGGCTAGAAGCAATAACCATACTTTGAGTTAATGTCTAGTATTGAAGATTTCGCTGCCACTAGTTCAAGAGTATATCTTTTATATTGAATCAGCTAGACGTTCTCCTTGTTTTGCTGACAACTGTAGTATTCCTTTTATCATTACATTACTCCCCCATGAGTTTTGGACTGAAGCAATTTCAATATATCATGGGATAAACTTCTATTAGTATAAAGTCAAGTGTGAAATTTTTAACTTGCATTTCAATTGAACAGAAATTTCTTGAGCATGATTTTTGTATGGAAAATTTATCTCGTGAAGCTCCAATATATGTTGTCATGGAAGGGAGTGAACCACTTTTTTTCACTCGCTTCTTCAAATGGGAGTCTGCAAAATCTGCGGTAAGTTCCTCAATGTAATGGCATAATGATTCTACTTTAGATCCATCCTAAAAAAATGACAATTTTTCTTATTTCATTGGCAGATGCTGGGAAACTCATTTCAAAGGAGGCTTACAATAATGAAAAATGGGGGCACTCCACCTTTGGATGTAAGACATCTTGTTTCTTCTTGTTCCTTTACAATCCCAGATAACTGCTTCTAAGGACAAAAGTTACCACAGGACACTTATTTAAACATTCATATGCCCTCACATTTTTTTGTCCTTAGTTGTTCATAAGAGTTATGTGATCGTTTTATAGTACAAAAAGGTTCCTTCTAATTAATGCCCCATAATTTTGTACTTGCCTTTTTGTTCTTCCAGCATTCTTATTCTATCAGTATTTCTTTCTAACAATTCGAGGAATGAAATGTTCGAAAGAACCCCCCCCCCCGGGGGTGTATTATTTTATATTCACTCAAAATGGATGTACTGGTATTTTAATACCTTTTTGCCTCATAGAATGAAGAAGAAAAAGCCAGTGCTACAGTTGACCGAGAATTTACTCATTTATGTAAGTTAGAGGTATGATGACATTTGAAACTATCAAGTCACACGTCATAATAACAATTAATTAGCTTTTGTGGATAATGATTCTAAAAATAAATCGTGTTATTGTGTATTATTAAATGATGAACTTGCTACAGATTTCTTCATAAAGGATGAATTTGGGTCCTTGTGGGTTTTACATAATATAAATATGAAGGTTGCTTGTTTATGAAGAATTATCCAAACTATTAGTAGTTTTATGAACTATTAATTTCCTTCCCCTTAAAAACTTTGCTCTGAAGACACTTGACTTAGTTTTTGTAGTATTTTGATTTATTCTGTTTGATTGTTGAATGTCTTGCACATGATTAGAGACCAAAACGGAGAACATCAGTGTCTTATGGAGGAAGGTCCAACAGTGCACCAGAAAAAGCCCAGCGTTCTCGCAGCGTGTGCGCAACTCCTGATCGTGTTCGTGTGAGGGGTAGGTCTCCCGCCTTTAATGCATTAGCAGCTGCGTTTGAAGGTCCCAAGGACAGAAATCTTTCAACTCCACCTCCTATTGTTAGAAAGCTGTATGCAAAATCTCTGACACCAGAGTCAGCAAAATTGGCACCCAAATCTTCAGTTATAGCAGCACTTAGTTCTTCTTTTGAATCATTCCGTCCATCAAAAGAAAATTTTATACCTCGATCATTTAAAGGTATTCTGTAGAGATCAGTTTGTTGATGGTGTTCCTTTTTAGAATTGCTGATATTGGTGTTTGCTGATATAAAAGGCCTTCTCTATTATTCTCTGCATTGTTATGATGTGAAGTGAGCCGAGAGGCCTCAAAGCAGGAGACAAGCAATGGGAAAGATTCTATGAGCAGTATACAAGAAGATATGAAAGAGGGTGAAGCTGAAGACGATGAAGGTCTCCCAGTTTACCCATATGAACGCCTCAAAATAGGATCTGAAGATCCTGTAGCAGACATTGATGTGACCAGGCGAGAGGTATAATGAAAACTTTGCATTGTTGCATCTGATAATTAGGCTTCCTTTGATTTTATTTATAACTTATTTGATCTTAATGCATGCAGGCTTATTTGTCAGCTGAGGAATTCAAAGAGAAAATTGGGGCGACAAGAAAGGATTTCTACAGGTTGCCCAAATGGAAACAGAACAAACTCAAGATGGCAATTCAGTTATTTTGAGTCTTAGTATACTTTTCATTCTAGCAGATCCCCACGGTTTAGGTTTCAGGTACAAAGAATATCTCTCACAAAAACTTAAATGTGTTATTTTTATTTTCCCTACTTGACTGATCAGAGTTCAAAACCATTTTTTTTTTCTAATACCCAAGTCCCTTACTCCTAAACCTCACTTGACTACTTGAGAAGGTATTTTTGCCCTTGTTACTTTCTTGGATACCATGACAAAAGTTGGTACAATGGGGAAGAAAAAACAATGCTATTTTCGATGTTCGTGACTGTTATGACAATAAAAGTTGTCATAGAAATAATACAAGTGATATTTATAAGAAAAAAAGGTGGGATGTGAGATGCCCGTGATTTTTTAATGATATGAGATAATACTTAAATTTTGTCATGAGATTCTTGTATCTAAAGTAGCACCCATCATCTTAAATGATAATATATCAAAACATTTTCATCCTTGTTAGTTGTTACAGCACAGGGAGCTTCTGATCCGAGTGTTATCTTATTTTTGTTTTTGCCCTTTCTTCTTTCAGTGAGGAACTGATCATATATACATGTGTGTGTGGAAGGGAAAGGGACAGCATCAGTGAATTTTTTTAGCATAGCTGCTTCTGCTCCCGACAAGATTTTCATGGTGAAGGGTGAAAACCGTTGAGATTTTTCACCCCCTTGGTTTGAATGCATAGCATGCATTCATCCTTTGTGGAGCTAGCTGCCTGGAAATTTGTCTTTTGTAGGCACAGGCTGTTATTTTGACATGCCCCTTTCATTGGGATTCCATGTCAATCATCATTCTTTGATTCAAATTTGTTTGGTAAAGTAATTGATTCTGCAAATGCAGTCTACTTAGATAGGTTGTAACCATAATTGAGGATGGAGTATATGTACAGCTTTGTAAAAACCAGTCAATTTGTTATCTCTCTCCTATTTCTTGTTCCGCTAAGATTTGGCCGTGATCAAGGTTTATTAACATTTTGCATCATTGAGTTGAGGGGTTATGGGACGTTATTGAAAAAATTAAAAGAAGTGACGTTTAGCTTCAAGCTTTTCACAAGAAAATATGCTTAAATTTGGCTCCTAATTCAAATAAGAAGAGATCTTTGTCTTCAAACTTCATTCATGATTTCTTCAGAAAAATGAGAGCATCAACAGTGATTAGAACTGATAATTTGGGCAGGGCGGGTTTAATTTGCTTGCATTTATTTAGATCATGCTTAAAGCATCATGCCCTTTAAAAAAATTTATTAATCAAACTCGACCTTAATTTTTTTCGGGCAACTTCGGTTTGCCTTTTGGGCTTAGGCCTAAATTATCAGCTCCATATGCATAGAGCCGGTAATTCTGGCAATTGATCTCAATCCGAGTCTAGTTTATTCAGATTAAACTTAAAGTATCATACTTTTTTTAAAAAGCTCTAGTCAAGCACAACCCTAATTTTGTAAGTGGATTCAGGTTGACTCATCGAATTTGACCTGAATTACTAGTTCTATCAGTGATTGAGTTAAATAAAAAAGATTCAATTCCTTCTCAAGTTAAAGGTTCAAACTTTACTAGAGTAACAATCACTTCAACATTTATATTTTTTAAAGGCAGACTCAAGTATATTATGTAATGAGTCTTAATAACTTTGCCATTTTACTTGGATGGGAAACAATTTATCAAATATTGTTAATTTTCATATTACTCCAAAACATTAACTCTCATGAAGTATTAAATCTATGCTCTTTTAAATTGATAATAGAGTCTTTAAAATGAGTTAAACAAAATAAGCTTATTTGTTTAACCTGTTAATTTAGTGAGAGTTAAGTTGAAACTTATTTTAAAGATATTTTTTAATATAATCAAATGAACCTAACTCATTTCACACACGAGTTAAACAAGTCAACCTGTAAGTTAGGTGGATGGACTTGTTTAACTCACTATATAATATCAAAACAAAAAAAAAATCTCAAATTTAAAACTATCTCCTAACATTCAAGTTAAAATATTAATAAACCGTAACTCTCAATTGATTTGCCTATCTTTCATCCCTCTCTTGATTAATGTATTGTGTATGGCATGCCTTAGGTTTTTACATTGTTCATTAGCTTTGTGTTCAATTTTGCCTACTCGTGTGTTCTTAAATTGCTTATAAGTAAATAACTTCACTCTCCTCATGTTCCTTGATCTTGAGAAATGTCTCTCTTTCCATGAGACCTCTACAATTTGAAGAAAAACATTTAAAGTAATAACGTATTTGCTACCGAGTATGTTAGGCTTTCGTCTGTGTGTGTGTGTATGCAGGTTGATGATTTGATTTGCTTTGACGTGGGATATGTTTAATGCGTGCTGTATTTTTTTTTTTTTACTATAAAAAAGCTAATTTTATTAATCACCAAAAAGATAAAAACAATTACTGATAGCCCAAACCAACCAACACTCAAAAAAGCCTAGGATACAACTATAACATAGCTTACAAAAAAACAAAAAGATAAAACAACTACAAAACACACAACAAACCAACAATCAAACAATAACTACAATAACAAAACAAGCGCAAAGTTTAACCAATAACCTCCTTATTCTAAGAATTAACAAAAGCAAATTCAAAACAACTATGTCTTTAAATTAGCAAGTAAAATTTCAAATAAAGAAGATGTAGTTACATAAAACTATGCCATTGGAGACATTTTCTTAAAGTCTATCACTACTAAAAAATTAGCAACTTCATTACTTTAACAAGCCACCAAGAAAAACCTAATGCACTTGCATGATACTTTTTTCTTTTTCCTTTTTTTTTTGTAAGCACCCGATGTCTTGAGCCTACCTCACTCGAGCTATAAGGATTTAATGAGACCCAAACTAATTCAGGTCAAGGCATAACAAGCATCACAAGGGTAAGCACTCCTGGCCACTTACACTACTGCATTCTTAAGACTCAAACTTGAAATCTCTGATTAAATTGAAACAACTCTTGCTAATTGATCCAAGTGCTCGTAGTTCACTTGATTCTTTAATAGATAAAATATTGTGCACAATCTTAGAGTAATGCCAGTCATAATCCACATTCAATAGACCTGTTAGCATGCTAAACGGAACCTCGCAGCCATCTCGATCAAGATCTTCGTACCATCAAATCTGCTTGCTTCTTTCAAACCTTCTTAAGACCGCAAAACATTCAACCTTGAGAGGAGAGTCAGATACCACCTCCTTGCCAGGCCACCTAGAAAGTGCCCAAACTCATCCATGCAAACAAGTCCAATACCTGCACAATTTATGGAACTATTAAAAGAACCATATCAACATTAATTTTAAAAACTGCTTTTGAAGAATATAAAGAGAATTTCATATAATTATAATTTGTTTGATATTGTTAATTTATAGTTTCTATAACCTTTTTCTTTTTCTTCCCAACATTATCATTATGGAATCTATAAATTAAAAGGGTAGTGAAAAATACGAGTGCGCAAACCAGAATAAATACATGAAGTGTGTGCAAGAGAGTGTATGACATGTATGCATTGAACAGGCGAAGTGAAATGTGTGCCGATACATGGTGTTTATTTTTTAAAATTCAATTTTTTCCCCTTTTGCTCTGGTTTCTTAAAATTTTGACCGAAATTAATTGAATCGATAACTTATGAGAACCTTTTTGGGAGAATACCTTCTATCAAGAAATTTGAAATTCTCTTGTAATTTGCTTTTTGTTTTCATGTGGTTAAAGAATATGCATACATGTAAGAAGTCTTGAAATGCAAACTTTGTCTTATGATTCATGAAGAGTTAACTGTTTTAACTCAATTTCGACAATTCTAATTGATATCTTCTTGAATAAAATAATACTAGAACAATATCTTGCTAAAAAGGAAAATCTAAGCTCTATTTGACATTTCTGTGCTGCAAATGAAGTCTAGCTGATAATGTTTTCATGACAATATTTTGAGGTTAAAAGCACATTTTTATCTTTAAAATATTTTTTAAGAAATACCCATCCTCAATATCCTAAATTATTAACTGAAGTAATTTCATTTTTAAAATAATTAAGAGAATATTTTTACGTTTACCATCAAATTTCTAAATTTTAACGTTGATCAATAAAAAATGTTACTTGAAACTCCAATAATTGATGATCAGGGACAAAAATGTTCTAACAAACACAAAAATGGATCCGAAATTCATTCGTCACCTCGAAGTCGAACAACTTGCACTGAAAGTATCGAAATGAATCAGAGCAAGAATCACGCTAGAGGCTATACAACTTCTAATAGTGAATCCACCTCCATATTTGCGATTGCTTTGCGAGAGCAATCATAGCCATTTCTGACCATTTTAGGCTTCTTAGGTAGTGGTGTGAATCAATCCAACACAAGGTTTAACGTTGGCAGTTCTTCAGTGAAGATAATCAATCATGATCCCTTTTTCGTATTCCCAAGGTTTAAATTACATAATTCATATTTTACTTCTACTTCAATAGTGGATATGAAGTATTGAGTTGGAAAAGAACATGTTGGATATGAAGTAAACTAAGAAATTGGGGGAAGAGCAGATAACTATTTACAAAAGGACACTTAGAAGCTTGGGCTTATAAATCATCCAATTGATTTATTGGAAAAAAAAAAACTAATATAGAGGAATATCTGAGTGCATGAACCCTATAAATTCAGTGGTCCATGAAGAGTTGACATGGCTTTTAAACAAGCAAGTGGATAATCAAACTCCTATTTAAGCCTTAAATCTTGAGAAAGCCAATGTGTTCCCCCTTTTCTTTCTTGATCAAATGTCACGCTTGAGCTGCTCATTGGGGTGTTAGGGTCACTGCATTCTCCTCCTCTATCTGATTTGAAAGATGCAGATGAATAAAGCAGATGGGGTTTTTCCTTCTTCTTCTTACCCTGGCTGCTAGTGCTACCTCCTATACTTAATGTCAAATCGACTTCCATGTCTTCATCACCTTCATTCCTAATTGCACAACCCTGAAATGCAGTATATGAATTAGGTCCTGCCTCTCCTTCATCTTCTTCTTCTGCAGGCCTTGCAAGATCAAATCCCCTTTGAGGCATTTTGATTGTGTCCCCACCAGAGCAGCTTCCACTCCTTTCTCTTGAGCAATGTTCATCTTTTAGACTCTGAACCTGCAAATCTGGTCCATATGAAGTTTGTGTTCTTTTCTGGTGTTGCTGCTGGTCACTGAGATGATGAGGTGGAAGGCTAATTTCTAAGTCATTCATAGCAGTCCAGATATTCTTTTGTCTGCTTTCTTTTTTCAGTTCTTCCATCATCATCTTTTGCAAACTATATGCTCTGTGTAGTTCTCTTACCTGCAAATTTCCATATTCTTGTAATTGCTAGCTAGTTTGCGGCTGAAGTTTAATCTTTACATATCATCACATCCTTTCTCAGAGAATCAAATATAACTCATATTCATTAGATTATTGAAGGTGCTTTTGGAAAAAAAAAAAATTCCTTATTTTGGTCCTTGAAATATGTTACAAGCTTTAATTTGATGCCACAGAGATGAGAGATGTTTGTTGTGTGTGTGTCACTTTGTTACTAGAGAGAACAACTTTATTGTGATTCTACAGATTTTTCTGACAGTGAAAGATGGTATTGCTATCATAGGGGAAGTGTGAAAATGAAACAGAACATGTTCACAAACGAAAAACCATCTGAGACACTTTCGTAAAAGAGGTTTTTACAAGGTTGACGGAAATTTGCTCACATAAAAGTTGCTTTTTTTTTTTTTTAATTATAGTCAAACGCCACTAAAATAATTCTTCATTTACTGTTTCTGACATCATTATGCTGAGAGTCACATGCTTTATGATTACGCACATGTTACTGGCGATTTCCAGAACATGCGGCTTCTAATTGAGTAAAGGATCGCAGAACAAATCTGGCAAATCAACCTGACTCCAAGATTTTGTATGACAAGATCTCAAAACAGTATCAAACCGTCATGATACCTGGTGTTTGAAGATATCCTCTTGCATCTGCATTGTCTTTTTGATGGACTCCATGTTAGTTCTGTCAAGAATCCTATCCATGGGAATGGGATCTTTCAACTTATTGTTGATTCCTATCAGCCTCTTTTTCTGATAATACTCCCAGACATCCACACCACTGATACTAAAGTTGTTGGTCTCTACAGCTACAGCTAGAGGATTTGTGGAATGCTCAATCTTGGTCCCCATGCCTGAAAAGAGAAAAATCATAACTGATGAGGTTCAAAAGTGGAGTGCTAAGTTTCATTGTGCAAATGTTTGACATGAAGAAGAAATATGAACGAAACTAGAAATATAAATGAAACTATCTTTTCCTTTTCTGATTATGTAAACCGATGATTTGATAGACTAATTAATAAACATACCTGATTCAATTCCATGGCAAGAACCTAATCCCTCAGTTACAATTATAATAAGCTTTATGGTGTCCTACACATTTTTTTAATATTAGAGTACTTCTCAGAGAAATTGAACTTAGGTTGATGAGAAAAGATGCTATCCCTTCTCTTTTCCAACTGAGCCAATCTTTTTAGCCTATCCCTCAAGACTTAGCTATTGACCTTTTGCTGAATTTTAGACGTTATATATAGGGATGACACTAATTTGTTTTGGGAATACGTCAAAACAGGGTCTGTCACTATACGGACCAAAAAGTAGAATTGATGGGGATCAAAGGATTTGTATTGAGATGTTCAAAAGTGTAATCAACATTTCCAGAGGCATTTTAAAGAAGCATGAAATGTGAACAATAGATGTGGGCACTAGTGAGACCAAACTGATATGTGTGGGTCTGTGTGATGAAAGCAACACTAGCTGTTAATAGTAGTCTTCATCATCTGCTACACCTTTAAACTTGCGCCTCAGGAAAGTTCCCACCTCTCCTTGTTCCTTTTAAAGCTAAAACCTTTAGAAATCCTAAAGAAAAGAGCTGAACTACATATATGAAGAAGCTCAAACAGACAGACCCAGACCCAGAAGAACCCAAGCAAAACTTAAAGACAAAAAGAAAACCTCACTGTGTTGAAGAAGAGTTTGAATGTCAAGGGTAGATGCAGTACTCATCAAATTTTCTTTCATGATTTTCTTAAAATTTCTGATATAGTTCCCTGGATGGAAATCGTTCCCACAACAACCAAAACTACCAAATTTTAACTCAATATCAATTTGGGTTCAAAATTCTTCTAGCCATCGATCTGAGAATGAGATTCTAAATGCACCAAACCTGAGGATACACCTGAGGGTGATGCCAATAAGAAAAACTAACAGAAATGCCTTCTGGTTTCTCAGAACTGCAACACTTTCAGAAGCAAATGTTTTGATGTATAAAGGGACTGAAAAAGAGGGAATCTGGAACTGTAATACCTGAAAATTGAAGTAGCACAAGTGCAGCTTTCTGTGAAGAAGCTCATTGAACATTTTCCTTCCTCATTCCAGCATTTTTAGCCGCAATTGACGATGACTCTTATTAATGGAAACCAACTCTGTCATGGTTTTTCTGACACAAAGGATGGAAAATTCCAAGAAGTCAAGTCTACCTGGTGAGTTCGGAGAGAGATCATAGACTAGTAGAAAATTAATCTCTCTTGGCAGCTCAAGAAGATTCAACTTCTCCCTCAACTCCTTCTGGATTTGAACAATAAACAAAGCAATAACCAGAAAGCTCAAACTCAAATTTATAAAACTGTAAATTGATGGAGCAATAATGATTCAGGCTTGACAGGCTGTGAGGGAAGAAGGCAAGAAATAAAAAGCTGGATTAGCTGGGTGTCTCTCCATGTGTGAGTGCCTCTCTCATATTTAGAGAGAGAGAGAGAGATTGTTCACATTATGACATAACATATTTGATTAATTTATCATTAATTTAGATTTTTAACCTAAAATCAACTTTAAATTGATATAGTGTGTAAGATTAGGGTAATAAGAACAGGGTGGAGCGGAAATAAAAGTTCAGGATTCAAACCTTTTTGTATGTTCTAATTCTACTTACCTACACATCTTGTAAATTAAATTATCTCGTAAGGCGTTTAAAAAGTAGTTTAGTTTAAATATTTTGCCATTGCAGGTGGCTGCATTTTGTATAATTGGGTTGGACTGTATTGTAAGAAAGAATAGAGGAGGAGAGAGAGAGTGTGAGAAGGGACCACAAAGGTGAACAAATAAAAACAAGAGAGAGTAGAATACATGAGGCCAGTGTAGGTCAGTGAACAAGATATTCCAGACAAAGTTATTCAGTGACTTAATTCATCACATATAAAATATTTATATTTATGCACATGCATCATCATCATCATCATCAATTGAAGTGCCTCTTTCCTATAGGGCTACTATCACCATCTTCTCTTTCTCTCTCCACAGTTTCATGTTTTTGGGAACTCAACTATTGGGATTGTGATTATTCCTTCCGTACATTCACATCCATATCCAGTCCTCCTTTGTGTTTCAGATTTTATCTCTTCCTTTTTATTTTCTCTCTCTCTTTTTTTCCTGGTTGAATCGTTTGGGATTTTATCGGATCCACCACTTCCAGGTTTTATTAATATTCAATCAATCTAAATCAGATGCATTGAAGAGAGAGAAGAAACGTAAAATATCTTATCTTTCTCTTTTTCTCAGTAGTAGTCTTATGAAACTCATTTTACATCTGTTCCCTCTTTTTATGTGCTCCATCATGACCAATCCAAGTTGTTCTGTATTTGGATTTCATTCTACTTCCCTTCTTCTTATTCTTGTTTTTTTTTTTAAAGATTGCTACAAGTAAAAATTCAGTCCTGGGATTTGAAATTGATGATTCCTTTCTGTAGATTTTCATTTCAATTTCTGTCAAAAAAATCTTTAGCATCTCTTTTAAATCACCATTATCAGTGTAGCGGACATTATTTCCATGAGAAACTTGCCAATTCAAAACCCATCACTTTCTATCAAAAGAATGATATTATTTCCATGGCTAAAGAAAAAACAAGGAGAAGAAAAACAAAAAGGCTTCAATATTGTGAAGTTAAGATTCCAAGTAAATCAGAACCACAAGGACCCAAGTGTACTTGCTATCATTAAGTAATGCATAGATATTACTATTTTAACATTTTCTTCAATCCTACATGTGGCTTTGCCCTGCTTTGTCCCTTCCTAGGCCCTAACCAAAATCCCCTTCAGTTCTATATATGTACGTTATATTTTTAGGCTATTCTAATATTAAATTTGTAACAGTAATAAAAAAACAAAACTTATGTTTATTTAATTTTTATGACAAGTCAGTAGTTTTTTTACAAGTTATAATACATGTTATTCTTTTAAACTCCATGTAATATATGGGATCTGGATCTAGTTCTTAGGAAAAGAATTAATCAGGATTTTCAAAAAGCTAGAGATCAACACAAACATTGTTTCTAATGAAAGGGGTCATGATACTTTAAACATGAGATCTTGAATTTGAGTTCATGCAAATGCAAAAAATATCTTTAAAAAAATTACTTTCTATTGTTCCTACAATATTCGAAATTAGTATTGTCAAATGGTCAAATTAGAAAGAAAAAAACAAAAAGGCAAGAAAAATTTTCCTTCAACTTTTCAATATGTCATGTATGAGGATAAAATTAACTATAAGAACTGTGGAATGGGCCGAAAGCCTGAAAGGATGATTTCCAAAGCATTAAAAAAAATATTATATGCCTTTTTAAAACTCGATCAGGATCATTATGTTCATTTCATATTTTAACATTTTTTAGGTGATACTTACACACACCTAATTTTATAGGGAATCATGATTATGTTGCAAGATATTAGAATCTGAAACCTGTAATTAGATTATAAAGTATTTAATTACGAACTTGATGTGGTTAGGTTGGCCATGTGATCCCTCCACATGCCAAATTAGCCTATCAACCAACGGCTAATTTAAAAAAAAAATAAAAAAAAATCCAAGAGAGAAAAAGGGATGCATCATGCATCATCTTTTTTCTTAAAAAAAATGAACTTAAAAAAAAATGAACAATATCATTTTTAAGAAAAAAGAATTTGATAGTATTGACCACTTCGAATTTAAATCGTGCTAGGCCCTAAATAGGAGGAAGCTCTTTTTTATTGCACGATCAGTTTTATCACCATTTTTTTTTTTCTTATCATTCACAAAACTTAAAATTCTAAATCTTATGTGAGATATACAAGTCCTTTCCACTCAGCTTAATGTGATTTTAATGAAAAATAATAGCTAAAGACTCATTTACATTAATGACAATTCAAAATTTTGAAATTATTATTTTTCTTAAAAAAAGAAATTGATATTGGTGCTTTTTAAATTTATCAGTTATGTTCTCTAAAGATATTACCTAATCTTTTCTATATACTATACATAAAAATATTTTTAAAATACTTATGACTGAAAACAACATTGTAACATTTTTAAAATTATATTATAACTTTATAAAATTTGAATGATAACTTTAAGAAGCATAAGTATATAATATAATAATGATAATGATAACAATAATTGGCAGGCACAAAAAAGTGGACACAATCAAAGCTAATCTATGCATCTTCACTTAATTAAACCCAGCAGTGTGTTCCTTCGCTGTCTTTTATCAGCAGATAGATCCAAAGTACTAATTTATACATAGAAACATATATTGATAATTATTTTAGTTTGGTTGGATTATCCTCTCCAAGAGCTTTATTTTGGGTGAATCAGATCGCTCCATGTGTGTTTCCAAGACCAACCCAACCCAGAATTCTTTTTGTTCTTCATTTCACAAACACTGTTTTGTGACCTACCCATCAAGCATCTATGAATCAATGATTGGCATGCAAAATAACCATGATATAATTTCTAATGTATATAAACGATGTTGTTTAAAAAATGATTTCTATTTTAATGCATAAGATATACTTATGTGTATTTCTGTGTAAAAACATAATTAAACCACATTCCAACAAATACATGATTTAGCAGTGATTTTGTAGTTGCAATAAAATTATGGACAACAGCTTTTTTTGTACAGTGCTCGTCGTGATTCATCCTAATTGAGATTAAAATAATTAATACTAATTTAATTTATTGTGATTTTTAAATCTACAATTAAATCATCTAGTCATGGTTAAAACCATAAAGTCAAAATTAGAGATCTTGGAATAACTTACTTGTTAAGGGTAACGGTGAAGCACAGTTTAAATGGTAATCAACATTCAAATTTTCTTATATTAATTAAAAAAAATTAAAACTAATTGAAGCTTCCGTTGTAAGCCAGTGATGAACAAATAAAAATTGAATTGAATTTTTTTAATAATTAAAAAAAAGCATGCAAGAGTTTTAATTTTCCTTCAAATTGGGCTGGTAAATGCATGCGTTGTTGGCTAAGTAAGGCACAAGCCATAGGAAAGTAGACCCACACGCCCACTATGCTACTTATCATCTTCCTTTTCTATTTCCAGTCTTGTCAAGTACAAGCCATCACCGCTACAGAACAAATATTAATACTCAACACATATTACACGCTTCAATAAAACCCAACATAAATATAAAGAGTTGGGTAACAAATTTATCTTATAAGTTTTTTTTCCCCAGACGCAACCACTATTTTTAACTTTTAATTGAGGTAATGTTACATTAAAAGTTTTAAAAATGATATAATGTCATCTCATGATAGCGTTTGACTAATGTTAGGTGTAATTCAGAGAATTAAAGGATAATTTTACCTTAAAAGTTTGTCCAGAAGAATAATTGGTTCTAAACGTTTGATTAGTGCAATGTTTTTTTATTATTAGGTTTCATATCAAAATAATGATCAAGCAACCCATTATAACCCAAAATTAAAGAAGATCTTAAGTTAAATTATATTGAATATCTTTAAGTTAGAATCTAAGTTAGTCTTTATTGTTCACGGTTAAATATGAACAAGTCCTTATTTGCTCACAATTAAGCCTTTGCAAGTTGAGATCTACTCATAAACATATATGCTTAGACTTGCTCGAAGGCAAAATAAGATCAAGTCCGACCTTTGCTTAAGGGAAGGTTCTTGAAGTGCTTATAAATAAAGTTGGTTTTGCATTTAAACAATCTCGGGAAAAGCCTCTTGTCAAAATCCAAAAATACCAAATATTTTTTAACATTTATAAAAGGTCGTTAGATTTTTTTTTTCTGATTTGAACATTGATAAATAAAAAATATCATACTAATCAAAAGTTTAGAATAATAATTACTTTAAAAAAAAACTTCCAGACAAAATTTGTTTTGAAATCATAAACAAAATTTCTCAACTAACGATCAATGATTATTATAGGGCTAAAAGTGCATCATTTTTTAAACTTTTGTGAAAATACTATATCAATTAAAAGTTAAGAATACTAATTGTATTTGGTTAAAAATTTCTAGGACAAATTTGTCCTTTCACCCTAAATATAAATTAAAATTTTGTGACATCAAAATTAATTTACAAGCATTTGTATTGATTGCATGATTTAATATATATATATATATATATATATATGCTCCCTCTATTTTCATTTATAAGATAAACTATCACTTTTAGTTTTTTTGTTATATAAACAAAATTATATTTTTTAATAAACATTTATTGTAAACTTTTTAAATTATCCCTCATAATTTTATTATTCATAGTCATGAGAGGCAATTAATAAAGGCTTGATTAACACAATTAATAAAAGGTATTGTAGTTCAATTTTTTTATTTACAAACACAATTAATATAGTTAGTTGATTTTTTTTAAACTGTAGATACAGTTTTTTTCTTTTATAAATAGAAATGAAGGGAGTATATACATACATACATACATACATACATATATATATATATATATATTCTTTTTTAATATTTACTCTATGTACTACCGACACTTGC